GAAAGCAGCCTTTACTGTATCACATACTTTTTTAACTCGGTAGCATTCCCTTCGTTTTTATCCCTTCACATGTACTGTTCTTATTTGACCATCTGTGAATGCACCTGTAACATCTGCAATGTTTACTGACGTATATAAGCGTTCGAAAGTGTTATAACATGCTCTTGGCACAATAAACCGCTTCCACCGAACGACCGTTACAGCTCACATCCTTGACAGTCGCGGAGTATTCCACACAGTGGGAGGTCCGACTTCGAAACCCGTGTCTCCCACTTCAAAGCGAGCAAATCAGCGTTTTTCGAGGTGATGGAAGTGGTACTTCAGAATGTAGATGAATCGAAGTGATCGCTTCGCGGCAGAGTGTAGTCGCGCACGATGAATATAGCAGAATGAAGCAAAGGCAGTGCAGCGAATAAAAGGAATACAGGAACAAAAGAAGTAACAGTATATTCATGCTGAAAATTATAACCTCATATTGATCGAGCTGTGGGAAGAACTTCCGTACTGCACGAAGAGGCAACTAGTTCGCGACTACCGCGTGCGACGAATAAATCACACAAAACCGATTCAGCTGTCCGTATCCCGGTGTCCTCTCCCAATACACTGTTGATGTTACCAACGGTTAGCACCACGGTCCAGTGCCGCCCCGCCATTCATAGAAGATGATGGTTTGAAGGTGCTTGTGTGGGATTGACATCGTTATTGAAGCTAGGGAAGGCAATCCGGCTACATATACCTATTGTGGGGGCGCCTCAAGACTAATCTATAACTGTCACGAGGCAGATCATGGGTATCGATCAAGAATCGAAAAATTCGAAACTTTCAAAAAAAATCAGTCCGGAATTTCATACCGATATTTCAACTGATACATTTCTTCATGTCTGCGAAGGATTATGGCTTTTTCGAAAAGGAACAAAATGAGCACACGTCAATAAGATCATAACTAATTAGTTTCTTAATTAATTACTAGTGAAATGAGTATATGCACCTTAGAACTCCTTGTACCTTTCTGTTTATCTCAGTGTTTTTCCTGAGTACTCTCTTATCCCTACAGTCAAAATGCCTCGATCTTTTTTTGTATGATAATTGTTTCTATCTAGTTTTTCCTGGAGACAAACATTCATGTCAAAACTACATATCTGTACGTACATTTCGATGAACTACTTGCGGCAGAATAACTTTTCTGTTCAGGGCGAGTTCAAAGCGTGTTTCAACGACGAAATGTTGAAGCCGATCTCTCCTTCATATTTCAATATGTCGAAGGTTCGTCAGAAAACGGCAGAACCCCCCGTGAGAGGTAAGCAGTTGTGAAACCGACGGTATAATTTTCATTATTGAATTTTGTGTGAGTGTGAAATTTATCTAAAGAAGGGATAAGGCTATAGAACTCTTCTCAGCTCTTGCTTGCGTGGATTACAGTAGATGTAGCGCCTTACGGCTTACAAAATACCGTGTGATTGAACCGTACGCAATCTTTAGCCAAAATATAGGGAGTTAGGAGTGGACTGTAGAAGTTTGATTATTTATCTAAAGAAGGGATAAGGCTATAGAACTCTTCTCAGCTCTTGCTTGCGTGGATTAGTAGATGTAGCGCCTTACGGCTCACAAAATACCGTGTGATTAAACCGTACACAATCTTTAGCTAAAATATAGGAGTGGACAGTAGAAGTTTGATTAACGATGAACAGTAGTGAAAAGTAAAATGGCATAGAGGGAGTGCCCTGTGGTAAGCGGAAGTGATAGTGGTTTGAGATGCCGGCAAGAGAGTGGAGATTCCAAAGAACCATGTAGACATAGAGGCGCTAATTATTTGCTACTACACCTTCAATGGATCTTAGAATTTTGGTGATCCCAATCCTTGCTCCTTTGCCTTGGTTATTCGGTTAAAAACCTTATAAGCTCCCATTGTCAAGTAAGTCCGTTCATTCCCCTGTTTTTTCGACTTTCAACTCATTGTACGTATACCCTGCCCCCTACTTTCCCTGAGATCCCTACAATCGTTTTCTACCACATATCATCATTGTCCTTATCTTACCGCTCGTTTACCAAATTTGAACGCCCTAGACCGAAATTTAAAATTTTTGTTAAAATCCCACCACTCATGGACAGATCAGTTCTGTAACAAACTTTTAGCATTCCTATACTGCCGCCTATACTACTGACAAATTTGAACGCT